TGCAGGTGTGTGTTTTTTGTTGACTGTGAGTCAGCAGAGCTGACAACCCTGCTGCCCTCGGGATGATGACAGGATTAGGACAAAATGCTTACAGGGCTAGTTTATATATACTGTAGGTGTGTGTCAGAGAGAGAGAGACATTACACTACACCTACAGCTCTCTCGCCCAAACTCAGCAGTTACTCTTGTGAGTGTGAACTTGTACAACACTAATGGAAGCTGCATTGGTCTTTATTTTATTTTTTTTTACCAAATCCTCCTCCTCTTTGTTGTGTTGAGGCTCTTCCGGTCAGCACGGTGCAGTCTGATTCATCCAGTAGGGTAAATTCATCCCGGTGTACTTGCTTTACCATTTATACCGTTCATACTGTCCACCCCTTGTAGCACCTAGAAGTAGGAATAAGACCAAACAGAATTAGATATATTTTTAAAGTAAATACCCTCCAGACATTTATTAAGACATTAAATACAAATAGTATGCTTTAAACTATGTTTTTTCCACAAAACAGTATAACTTCGCAAATTAATTGGCAACAATTTTGAGAATTACTTAACCTTTTTTCTTTTTTCCTGCATCATTTTCTGGTTTCAGATTCTCAGTTGTGAACATTTGTCTCATATGAAAGTCTACTGAATATCTTTAATTGGTTTTATCTGTTTCTTTTTTTTTTCTTTCATTTTTTAGGCCACTTTATCGTTTTATTTAAGCAAATAAACAATAGTGTAATCCAAAAATGTGTCACAGGTTCAGAAAGTGTGTCACAAACTCTGATTAAGGTCAATAGAAATAAACAAGTAAATGAAGAGAATGTGTGAGTGTGTTAAATCCATCCAGACTGAGACTCAGAGCTGTGGTTCTGCTGCTGATGGCCTGTTTCACACTGGGTGGTCTTAAACGCAACACAACTGCATGATGTCATGGAGTCTTGGCCGAGCTCTGCGAAGAGTGTCTGTGTGTGTGTGTGTCTGTGTCTGTCTGTGTGTCTGTCTGTCTGTCTGTGTGTGTGTCTGTCTGCCTGTCTGTCTGTCACCTTTTAAACAAATCTTAAAATGAGTGT